AGCAGCTCCCTGTAAGGACAGGTGTTGCGTGTGATTAGCAGCTCCTGCCCTTCTCTATGGGAGTACGTGGCCATACACTGCCCTACGCTCACCCCAAGTGCAGGTCAGTACGGGTGCAAGTGTCCCGGCTCGGACGCAGACAGACTCCATCCTGTCAGCGTATGAGTATGGACATCCTTACTGATGTGAATGGCGGGTGAGAGTAGGGGGGGGCGTACGGCCACATATTCCCATAGAGAAGGACAGGGGCTGCGTACTAATCACATGCAGCACCTGTCCTTCCCGGGAGCTGCTCAGTACGGCCGTGCACACAGCACGGAGCTGTATGTGCTGGCCTTTTCTCGTGTGAATGAGGCCTAAGAGACATAATTTAACCCCTTCGTGACGGGAGACGTACACTGTACGTCCAGCCACAAAGGGACCAAATGACTCGTCACGTACACTGTACGTGACGAGTTATTTGCTGCACTAGAAGGCTGCTAACCGCTGAGAATCAGCGGTTACCTTTCAGTAATAGATGTCTAACTATCTAGAGATCCATTACTGAAAGGGTTAACCTTTTTCAGACACCCGATACCTTAATATCGGGTGTCTGAGAGTCACAGCAAAGCAGACACACATGTCGGCTTTTGCCGGCATTCTGACAGCTCGTATAGATCGAGAGATATCTCTCTCAAGCTATACTGGCTTTTTTTTTTTTTATCTTTTGACTTTCAAGAATAGATACAAAATGTTATGTATTAGACACATAATGTATCTATTCTTGAAAGTAGAATGTTTAAGTTTTCTGAAACATTCACTGACAGCTGAATCCTGAACTGCTGCAGGATCAGTGTCACTAACTTATTATCGGCTGTTCTGAAGTTTGAAGCAGCCTGATAATAAAAAAAATGTATTAATTTATCAAGCAGTAATAGTGAGATTAATTCACAATGACTGCCTGATATAATTAAATAAATAAAATTTGTCAGTATAAAAAAAGTGAAAAGTGTAAATAAATTAAAAAAAATAGTGAAAAGTGTAAAAAAATTAAAAATAAGGGACAAATAAATGAATGTATGTATTGCATTTTTTTTTAGCTGTGCTGGTTTTGTTAAAAAAAAATACTACAAATCAAAACTGGGAAAAAAAGTTTTTTTTTACGTTTTTTCCTCTTTTTTTAATTTGTATTTGTCCTAAGTGAGGCGTTAGACACACATATGTGATATAAATATATAGCCCTATCTGTCCTCTAAAAAACAATATATAATATGTGTGGGTGCACTTTGTAAGAAAGTATATTACTGACGTGGAAGAATCACACAGCAAAAATGTCAAAAGTGTGTCAGTCATTTACGAACAGAAACCAAAAACAAGCTCAGTCATGAAGGGGTTAAGGCAGGATTGGGAAGGGGGAAAAAAGTTTGAATTTACTGTCACTTTAAGATATGTGAGGCTAAAAGATACCTGCTACCAAAATGGAGCTGGTCCCACGTCCCCCAGTTTTACAGGAGTCACTTGCAGATCCCAGACTAGTCCAGACTTTGAATGCAAATCACCTAAATGCTTTTCATCTTGATATACTGTATATTTGCATTGTGTATTTTTCAATCTTTAGCAAAACAGTCAGCATTGAGCACCCTGTATTTCATTGCATTCATTATAGCTAGACATAAGGATCTTAAATGAACTTACTGGCACAGCAATGGTTAACCTCCTCCCCCTTGTCAGCTCACACTCCGAACGAAGATCACAGAAGTGTCCTGCACAGTATCCCCTGGCTCAGGCTGATGTCGGCTGGTGATGGGGGCGGGGCAGCATGCTCTGTGTTCAGCCTGGCCGCTCTGTGCTCTTTCATCACTTGTGCTGTCAGAGCTGGCCATCGGACATAGCGGGCTGAGCCGAGCCAGCCCGAACACAGTCAGCGTGATTATGTTCGGCCCAGTCCGGCCCACCGGGCAAGTGCCCGGTATGCCCTATGGCCAGTCCGGCCCTGGTGGACATGCCCCAAGGTACAAAGGCCTGGATACACATTAATCATTTATTTAGAACCGTGCTACAGAGACATTTGTGCAAAGATCTGTGAGAGGTCTTACTCTTTAAATCAATTGTGGTCCTGACTAAAACTGAACAAAATTGGTATCCTTCATATTTAAAGCTACCAAGCTAATGAAAGCATAGTCGTCACCTTCTCCCAATTATCGTTAAGTGCTCATAAGGGTGTCATGTGCAAAGATCAAATCAAAAATGACTGCTATTTTGCTAGACTCTCATAATAAATTTTTGAAAGTATGGTCACCTTGGTTGGAATACACACATCTGGAGGGAACTTGGGATTAGTTGGGATTAGTTGGTCATAGTGGTTGGGCCTTAAATGTGGAGAATGGGAGGTACTCTTACTCTTCTTGCCTGTTCTTTTTCCCCCTTACCCCCTCTATCTTTGCTCTGTTTCTTTGTTGACTTATCTTTTTTGGTGGTCACATTCAACATTTTTTTTTCTTTTGCAATTTTTTTGGTTATACTGAAATGTCAGGGTATTTTAATTGTTTTCATGACACCTAACTTCTCCACTTTATTCTTTTTTCTTTCTCTTTTCTTTTTACTCATGTGCCATTTGTTACTCCTTTATGTAGATCTATGATATTGCATTAGTACCCTCGATTTGGCTGCTGTACATGTGTTGGCCTGCTTTGTGGTATGTATGTTTTTGTCACCAGTGTATTTGTTTTGCGAAGTGACTTTCCTTCTTTTATTTCTTTTATCTTTTGCACAGAATTAATACATTTCTTGTGAAAATAAACCCCTATGATTATTAATATTAATCATATTAATATTAATTATTTGTATTTTACCAGGTAAATATTGTCCATATGTGAGGAATGTGTAATCACTTGTATCTTGGTTTGCTTTGTGTATTTCTTACAGATCTGTGCAGTAATCCAGCATGAAACTTCACCTCTGTGAAGGAGCTTCCTGCATTAAGACCAGTCACTGCTAAACTTTGTGCTTTGCAGGGTGACTGGTCTTGTATCACCTCCCTTCTGTAGTTTTCTGGAGGCAGCCTGTAGTTGACGGGCCAGTCCAACGGCTCTACTCCCTGCACAGTCTATGTACAGCACAATGATGGTGTCACCACTACTTTTACAAGATAATATTTGGGTTAAAAATTACAAGTGGTGCACACAAAGTGGATTTATGTTCTTTGTGGCTATTGAGGGGTATATTTAAATGAAAGTGTATGTGCCCAGAGTTCAGTTTTAAAGTGAACCTATCTCTTATTTTACATTTTGAAAAGGTGTCATTGCTAAGAGTAGACTTGATAAATTAATAAATTGTCTATTACCTCTGTCAACCAGAAATCCTAATTATCATCCCATCTGATGCTTTAATTTTGTTAGTCTGGGGCTTAACTTTCCCTGCATCTAAGTTTCCTCTCCGCCCCCCCCCCCCCCCCCCTCCTT